GTGGACTTCAACTCCCAGAATTCCTGAGCCAGCCATGCTGAGGGGAAAGGGAGAGGCTTCCAAGCTGAGCCATGCTGGCTCAGGAATTCTGGGAGTTGAAGTCCACAAGTCATAAAAGAGCCAAGGTTGCCTACCCCTGTCTTAAGTCAAGGACTACCTTCATTCTATGTTTTAGAAAGCGATTTCAACTGTCAGCAGATGGCACTATTGCTGTATTTAAATTTAGCATGAGGAAGCCTCCTGAAATGCAAACCTGGCAGTGAAGAAAGTGTTCCTTCCTGATTACCAGGCTTGTTTTGTCCTGAACTTGATCCCAGCCCTCTCTGCTCTAGGTGAGGCTATAGTGAGAAAACAGCTAACCTGTCAAAGGCCTTTCAAGGGTAAAACCAAAGTAAGATCAGCCCTAGTAAGGCCACACCTGGAATACTGCAGCCAATTTTGGTCACCATATCACAAAAAAGATGTGGAGAGTTTGGAAAAAAATTCAGAGAACAGCAACTAAGATGATCCAAGGCCTGGAGGCTAAAACATACGAAGAACGGCTGCAGGACCTGGGTTTGGCTGGTCTAAAGAAAAGGCGCTATCTAACAAAATGAAATTCAATGGTGAAAAAAAGTGAGGTTCTACATTTAGGCAAGAAAAACCAAATGTACAGGTATAGCATAGGTGGTTCCTTGCTCAATAGTAGTAACTGTGAGAGGGACCTCGGAGTCCTAGTGGACAATCATTTAAATATGAGCCAGCAGTGTGCTGCAGCTGCCAAAAAAGCCAACACAGTGCTGGGCTGCATTAACAGAGGGATAGAATCAAGATCACGTGAAGTATTAATACCACTTTACAATGCCTTGGTAAGGCCACACTTGGAATACTGCACCCAGTTTTGGTCACCACGATGTAAAAAAGATGTTGAGACTCTAGAAAGAGTACAGAGAAGAGCAACAAAGATGATTAGGGGACTGGAGGCTGAAGCATATAAGGAACAGTTGCTGGAATTGGGTATGTCTAGTTTGACGAAGAGAAGGACGAGGGGGGACATGATAGCAGTGTTCCAATATCTCAGGGGCTGCCACAAAGAAGAGGGAGTCAAGCTATTTTCCAAAGTGCCTGAAGGCAGGACAAGAAGCAACGGATGGAAACTGACCAAAGAGAGAAGCAACCTAGAACTAAGGAGAAACTTCCTGACGGTTAGAACAATTAACCAATGGAACAACCTGCCTCCAGAAGCGGTGAATGCGCCAACACTGGAAGTTTTAAAGAAGAAACTGGACAGCCATTTGTCCGAAATGGTATAGGGTTTCCTGCCTGAGCAGGGGGTTGGACTAGATGACCTCCAAGGTCCCTTCCAACTTTATCATTATTATTATTATTAAGAAATAGGGGAGACATGATAGCAGTATTTGAGGGGCTGCCACAAAGAAGAGGGGGCCAGGTTGTTCACCAGAGGACCAGAGGGAAGGATGAGAAACAATGGTTGGAAACTGATCAAAGAGAGAAGCAACCTGGAATTAAGGAGAAACTTCCTGACAGTGAGGAGAATCAACCAGTGGAACAGCTTGCCTCCAGAAATCGTGGGCGCTCCATCACTGGAGGTTTTTAAGAAGAGACTGGACAATCACCTGTCTTGAGATGGTATCGTGACCCTGCAACCATCATAAATACAAAGCAGTTGCAAACCTCTGAATTTTGATCATGTGACCATGGGAATGCTACAATGGTCATAAGTGTGAAAAATGGGCATTAGTCACTTTTTTCAGTCACTTTGTAACTTGGAAAGGTCACTAAAATGGTCAAGGACTACTACTGTATTGCTAAGCATTGGGGTCATAAAGCCTAATGTCACATGACTGAGACAACTTTACGACAGTAGTTATGGTAGTCCCAGTTGCTGTTGTAGGGCAAATCCCACAAGGTCACAGCATCCCACAGTCATGTGAGTACCATCCATGCCCCGACTCACATTTATGACGGTTGCAATGTCTTTGAGTCATGTGACCCCCTTTTGTGACCTTCTGACAAGCAAGGTCAAAGGGGAAGCCAGATTCACTTAACAACCGCGTTACTAATTTAACAACTGCAGTGATTCGCTTAACAAACATGGCAGGAAAAGTCACAAAACAGGTTAAAACTCACTTAACAAATTTCTCACTTAACAACATAAATTTTGGGCTCAATTGTGGCAAGTTGGGGACTACCTGCGCTATATTTGCATTGCATTTTTTATTCTTGGCGTAGGGCCTTTTTAACCTGATTAATGAAAATAGGGTTTGTAAACCACTTAGAATTAAATTGAGATAACATACAAGCCAAAGATGTAACCATAGTCCTCCGCATATGACCGCAGTTGAGCTCAACGTTTTGGTTGCTAAGTGAGACATTCGTTAAGTGAGTTTTGCCCCCTTTTACAACTTCCTTGCCACAGTTGTTAAGTGAATCACTGCAGCTGTTAAGTTAGTGACACGGTTGTTAAGTGAATCTAGCTTCCCCATTGACTTTGCTTGTCAGAAGGTCGCACAAGGTGACCACGTGACCCTGGGACACTGAAACTGTCATAGGTACATGCCAGTTGCTAAGCCTCTGAATTTTGATCACGTGACCATGGGGAGGCTGCAATGGTGGTAATGTGAAAAATAGTCATGTCACTTTGTAACTATAAATGATCACCAAATGAATTGTAAGTTGAGGACCATCTGCCCGTACTTATGACTGAGCCAACTTGACTACTGTCATAAAGTTGGCTCAGTCATGTGACCATAATAAAAATACCAGACTCCTCAAGTTTCCTCTCTGACATCACGGGTCCCCCCGCTCACCCAACACATCTCCATAAAATGCTTTGCTGCGCTCGGTGCCACCGCTTGCAAGAGAAATAAATGTGGCATGAATAAACCAGGATAAAAGCAAAGTCCTCGTATTTGATCTGGGATGTTTTACGGCGTGGCGTTCTCAAGTGGCCCAGTGCCAAAGACGCCTGGCTTCTGGTTTATTTTTTATTTTATTTCCAGAGCGGTTATCAAAACCATGCGAGATATCCAGACGGATGCCTTGAAACCCTCTCTCGTTTCATCTTTGTTTTCATCTTTGTTTCCTCTGTGCGGCAACAGGGACAGGCCGAAGGCTTTCAAAGGGCAGCCCAGAGAAGGAAACTTCGCCCCAGACTTGTCTTTGTCCATCCTCTCCAGCCGAAGCAGGAAACTGAGTGCGGGGAAAAACCTGAGCCCAGAAACAGAAGACGAATATCACGAGACACTGGAAGGAGGCAGGTTCTCCTGCAAACTGGGCCCAGTTTGCTCTTCAGTCAGTTCTAGATCTGGAGCCTAGTAGAACATCAAGCAGAAGAGAGACACTACCTTAGGATATTGGATTGGACAACCATTTGTCTGAAATGGTATAGGGCTTCCTGCGTGAGCAGGGGTTGGACTAGAAGACCGCCAAGGTCCCTTCCAACTCTGTTTTCTATTCTATTCTATTCTATTCTATTCTATTCTATTCTATTCTATTCTAGTCTAGTCTAGTCCAGTCCAGTCCAGTCCAGTCCATTATTATTCTATTCTGTTCTATTCTGTTCCCTTCCCTTCCCTTCTATTCCATTCCATTCCATTCCTATTCTATTCTATTCTATTCTATTCTATTCTATTCTATTCTATTCTATTCTATTCTATTCTATTCCATTCCATTCCATTCCATTCCATTATTATTCTATTCTATTCTGTTCTATTCTGTTCTGTTGTTCTGTTACCTTCCCTTACCTTCTATTCCATTCCATTATTATTCCATTCCATTCCTATTCTATTCTATTCTATTCTATTCTATTCTATTCTATTCTATTCCATTCCATTCCATTCCATTCCATTATTATTCTATTCTGTTCTGTTCTGTTCTATTCTGTTCTGTTGTTCTGTTCCCTTCCCTTCCCTTCTATTCCATTCCATTATTATTCTATTCTATTCTATTCTATTCTATTCTATTCTATTCTATTCTATTCTATTCTATTCCGTTCCATTCCATTCCATTCCATTCCATTCCATTCCATTCCATTATTATTCTATTCTATTCTGTTCTATTCTGTTCTGTTTTGTTCTGTTCTATTTCCCTGCTTTACATGTCAGAGAGCCCAGATTTAAGTCATTTCTTCAGGAAATGCTGGGAATTTTATTTTATTTTATTTTATTTTTTGCCAAAAACCATGCCCTGTTGCTCTCAATCAGAATCAGTGGTACAGGTAGTCCTTGACTTACAACCATTCATTTAGTGACCGTTTGAAGTTACAAGGACACCGAAAAAAGTTACTTACGGCTGGCCTTCACACTTAAAACGATCACAGCATTCCCATGGTCACATGATGACAATGTATTTATTTAGTTGTTCAAATGTATTATTTATTTCGATTTTATTATTTTATTAATTGAATGTATATGCCACCAGTCTGGCAGACACGTGACTCTGGGTGACTTACAACATGCCAGATTTGGGTGTTTGGCAACTGGCTTGTACTTACGGCGGTTGCAGTGTCCAAGGCTCACGTGCTCTCCGTTTGTGACCTTCCCAGCTGGCTTCCAACAAACAAAGCCAACGGGAGAAGCCGGATTTGTTTAACAACCACATAATTGCATAACAACTGCAGTGATTCGCTTAACAACCGTGGCAAAAAAAAAATCATTAAAAATCAGGCAGGGCTCAAATTCGAATCCCGATTGTGGTTGTAAGTCGAAGATTACTGGTACTGAGCCAAATGGATCCACGGTACTTAGTGTCTTCCCAGTGGATTGGGACTAAAAACCCCAGAATTTACAGTATATCTTATGGGTGGTCATGTTGGTTAGCAATTTTAGGAGCTGGATTGTCAGCGGATCCAGAGAGATCCAGGTTGGGAAGAATGGTTTGCAGTTTAAGAGAAAAGTCTCCATTTGTAGCACTACATTGTCTGAAGTAAGTGTTTGTGGTCCTTTCTTGTTACAGATCAGTCTCCTGAACACAGATTTTCTCCAGAAAGCAGAATCTCCCCTAACATCCTTCTCCAGGGAGACCATGCACTTGATATGGTAAACAATTCCCTGTCTGACCCTTGTCTTTTTTCTTTTTCTTTCTTTTTTCTTTCTTTTTTTTTGTCTTCCTTCCTCAGATTTGATTCTTGACTTTGGGCTAAAAGGTCTCCTGAAGATGAAAATCTAAATTATTAGCTGGAAACAGCCTAGATCAGGGGTGTCCAACTTTAAGTCCTGTGGACTTCAACTTCCAGAATTCCCTAGTCAACATGACATGGCTGGCTGGGGAATTCTGGGAGTTGAAGTCCACAAGTCTTAAAGTCGCCGAGGTTGGACACCCCTGACCTAAATGAAGAGAGAAAAGAAATCAAGTCATGGGCTTCTTTGTAAAAATGTTGACTATCTGCCAAATTATTAACCTTATGTTTCATAAGCAATTATGTTTAATGTTCCTATTTTGTACAAGCTGGAGAATTTGGCTTGCCAGGTCCCGGTATTATTCTTTCAACTGCAGCCTTCAAAGTGATCTATTTATATTTGTGATGAGCTGGTCTCCTGGGACCTTTCTAATTTAATGGCTCTGTTCTTATAACTTGCCTAATTGGATCACTTGGGAGATAACGTATTATAGGGACAGCAAAACTGGGTTAATTAACTGACCTAGTCAACTACTGTAACCCCGAGGGTTATTTTTAACCCAAACCAGATGCAGGCACTCCCAGAGTTAAACTCACCCCAACAGGCAAACATGCCATGGGGACCCCCAAATTCAACTAATGAAACCATTTTCATTCTCAGCCTCCAAGAAAAAAACCTGGAGGGAGGAGATGAAAAAGTAACCCTTGTCATATCTCATAGGGAAGAGGGAAATGGTTATCAATCTGTCTGTCTCTCTGTCTCTCTATTTCTATCTATCTATCTATCTATCTATCTATCCATTTATCCATATATCATATATCTATCTAATCTATGTCTATCTCTATTCATTCTCCTGTCTGTCTGTCTATCTATCATCTATCATTTATCTGTTTGTATCTTATCTATCTATCTATCTATCTATCTATCTATCTATCTATCTATCTATCTATCTATCTATCTATCTTAATTCCTCTATTATCTATCTATCTATCTATCTATCTATCTATCTATCTATCTATCTATCTATTACGTATTTATCTGTTTCTATCTATCTCTATTCATTCATCTATCTGTCTGTCTGTCTGTCTATCTATCTATCTATCTATCTATCTATCTATCTATCGTCAATCTATTATTTATCTGTCTGTCTACATCTATCTCTATCCATCCATCTAATCCAGTGGTGTCAAACTGCTGGCCCGTGGGCCGGACACGTCATTGGGAAACCACGCCCACCCCATTGCCGGCAATGGCGAAAAAGCTCCGATACGTTGCGCGACGTCATGTGACGTTGCTAGTTTGACATGTCTCATCTAATCTATCATGATCATCTATCTCTATCCATTCATCCATCTATCATATATTTATCTCCATCCATCCATCATCTGTGTCTCAGTCTATCTATTTATCTACTGTATATCCATCCATTCATCCATCCATCCATCCATCATAATCATCTATCTATCGTGTTTTTGAACCACCCATCTCCCTCAGAGAGGGACTCTGGGTAGAGTACAGTAAAGGGATAAATTATAAAAACAGTGATTAAAAATTAAAAATTTAGAAGGAGATAAGGATGATTAAACGCTGCTAAAATTATTTAAAAGGGGAAGAGAGGACTCTCAGGAGACTAACCAGCCCCACAGCTGCCCAGCTCCTCTGAGCCCCCCCCCCCCATGCCAGTTTACAGACCCATGTTCTGACTGCTTTTCGGAAGGCCACGTGAGTTGGGAACTGTCACATGTCTGGGGGGAGGGTGTTCCAAAGGGTGGGGGCAAGGGCACGGAAGGATCTCTTCCATGACCCTGTCCATCAGAGTTCTTCAAGTGACAACCTATGTATATGACTTACATTAAAAAAATCACATGCTTTTAAGAGGGAATTAATGTTATGTACATTTCTATTTTAAATTCAGACTTGGCTCATTGCTTCTAGAGTCCGTTAAAGTATGGGGTCCTTGGTGCTCTCTCAGCTTGTTCATCTTCTTGCATACATTTCATAACCAAACTAGGTAACATCATCAGAGCTAGAAGGGAGTGGGGTTTGCTTTAAATTAATACTAGACCAACTAGATCAGTGATGGCGAACCTTTTAGAGACGGAGTGCCCAAACTGCAACCCCAAACCCACTTATCTATCGTCGGGTGCCGGGTGGGCATGGCCCATTGGGTGGGTGTGATCCATTGAGTGGGCGTGGCCTATTGGGTGGGCCTGGCTGCGGTGGTAACGGCAGACTGGGTGGGACTAAAAAGTTCAATCAATCAATTCCAACTTTGCGAGATCTTTTTTTTCCCCGCGAGAAGTTGAAATTGATTGATTGATTGAACCTTTTTTTTTTTCACACGCCGGCAGAGGCCTAAAGCGAAAAGATTTTATAAAACCCAGCTGAAGGCCTAGGACTGGGGCGACGGTGTGCATGCCCACAGAGAGGGCTCTGCGTGCCACCTGTGGCACATGTGCCGTAGGTTCGCCACCACGGAACTAGATCAACAAGTAAACAATACTCCCATCCAGGAGCTTGGTAGACAAGCAATCTATCAGTAAATAGCAGCCTAATCAAGAAACCACCAAGAACCCTTCCAATAACATTGACAGGCAAACTACTATATATAAACAGAGCAAACCCCACGCCCTTCTAGCACTGATGAGGTTACCTACTAGGGCAATGAAATGTCTGCAAGAAAACAACCAAGCTCAGAGAGCACCAAGGATGCTATAATTCAGACCTAAGCTACAATCTTCTATCAGTCCCGAAAATTGAAGTTTTATTGTCCTCGCCTATCCCTCTCTCCCTTCTCTGTTTTTAGAGCTCTCAGAAGAAAGTCAACCAATTGCAAGGAGCCATTGAGCTGATGAGAACAGGATCCCGAATCTCCTCTCAAGAAAGAGATTACCCAGAAAGTGGATCCCCGCCCCTTCCAAGCAAAAGGCCACCCTCTCCTCAGTGCGACCAAAGTCCCAGCTTTGAAGCGTAAGCGGTTATCCCTCCAATACTTTAGACATTTGGAAAATTTAGACTTTAGAAAAGAGAGGGACGTAAGAGTTAAATGGAGTTGAACTACATAGTAAATTAGATTAGTAGGGGCTAAACTGGGGTTGGCCATGTGTGTTTGGGTGTGCATGCGTGCGTGTGTAATTTACACTAGGGCTGTGCATGCTTTAAAAAAGAGAAGTATGCATTAACAAAGGCATAGAATCAAGATCACCCAAAATCTTAATACCACTTTATAATACCTTGGTAAGACCAGACTTGGAATGCTGCATCCAGTTTTGGTCGCCACGATATAAAAAAGATGTTGAGACTCTAGAAAGAGTGCAGAGAAGAGCAACAAAGTTGATCAGGGGACTGGAGGCCAAAACATACAAAGAACGGTTCCAGGAATTGGGCATGTTTAGTTTAATGAAAAGGATTAAGGGTGACATGATAGCAGTGTTGCAATATCTCAGGGGCTGCCACAAAGAAGAGGGGGTCAACCTAGTCTCCAAAGCACCTGAAGGCAGGACAAGAAGCAACGGATGGAAACTAATCAAGGAGAGAACCAGCCTAGAGTTAAGAAGAAATTTCCTGACAGTCAGAATAATTAACCAGTGGAACGACCTGCCTCTGGAAGTTGTGGGTGCTTTCATCACTGGAGGTTTTTAAGAAGAGATTGGATAACCATTTGTCTGAAATGGTATAGGGTGGTATTGAGCAGGGGGTTGGACTAGAAGATCTCCAAAGTCCCTTCCAACTCTGTTACTCTTTTATTCTGTTAAGTGCTTTGGGTCTGTCTCTTTAAAGCCACCATCTCAGCTTCAGGCAAGCCAGGGAAATGCTGCCCTATTGCTAAAGAAGCTGACTCTTTAAATTTCGACTGACTCTTAAAATAGTGGCATCTTTTTCTCTGGCTCAGAGAGAGACCCCTGAAAAAAGTCAGGCAGCTTTAATAAATTGGGAGGGAGCTACTGTGCTTGCCCTCCACGGGGCAGGAAATTTTTCTGGTTAGCTTTATCAATGAAAAGTACAAGTAGTCCTTGACTTTCAACTGTTCATTTAGCGACCATTCAAAGTTACAGCAGCACTGAAAAATATGACTTATGGCCTTCACAGCATCCCCATGGTCACAGGATCAAAATTCGGGCATTTGGCAACCGGCATGTATTTAGGAGGGTTGCAGCATCCCAGGGTCACATGATCGCTATCTGCGACCTTCCCAAAGTCAATGGGGGGCAGGATTGCGCGATTTTCACTGAACAGCCTCAGCGATCCGTTTAACACAGTGGTTCTCAACCTGTGGGTCGGGACCCCATTTGGGGTCGATCGACCATTTCATGGGGGTCGCCAAGCAAGGCTGTCCACCATTTTTTTTGTCTGCCATTTTTTTGTCCGCCATTTTTTCCCCTTTTCCAGCGGGTGCCTTACCTCCCTTGGGCTGGGCCAGCTGGTGGTTGGCCTGCTCCGTCTCTGCCGCTTGCCAGCTACGCCTCAGCCGGCGCAGGGGGCGGAACCACGCATGCGCGGCGCTCCCGGGCAGGGAAAGTCCTCGACTTATGACCGGTTGGGTAGTCCTCAACTTACGACCGGTTTAGTCCTCGACTTATGACTGGTTGGGGTCGCGGCATTAAAAAGGTTGAGAACCACTGAAAGGGTTAGAAAATCGGGTGCAACTCATTTAACAACTGCCTTGCTTAGCCACGGGAATTCTGGTCCCGGTTATGGTCGTAAGTCAAGGACTACCTGTGCTAGGTCCCCCTACGGAAGAACCGGAGCTGCTTACAACGATGAAATCTTGGCAGTCCGTTTTCCAAGTGCTGACGGTGCTGATTCTTTTAGATTTCTAAGACCCAACAAGTCAGATTGCCGGGCCTCCCCCTCTTCTTGTGAGAACCTGAGGTTTACCACCAAAAAAGAACAGCTCTACCTCTTCAACCAAAGTTTAGCCCTGCATCATCTTGGCCTCCGGAATAACCCCACCGGCAAAGAGGGCGATTTCCCTCACCACCTATTCCTGGCTAAGGAAGTAGGCGGTCGAGTGAAGCCCCAGGATGAGTGGGAAGACCAAGCCACCATCTTGGAACTCCCTGGCGCTGTGCTGTACATGAAGGATCGTCATCTGGAAAACAGGCTCCAGCTTCTTAGCAGCTCAGAGAGACTCCGTTGTTTGTTGATGCAGCCGCAGCACGAAGGGAAAGGAAGAAGAGAGGACAGTTCAGATCAGTCTTGGTGCCAGAGCCCTTCCACGCTGCCAAGCGTTGGCAAAGAAGGGAAAAAGGAAAGAGCCAGCCCCAAAGATTTGACGGACGATACACTGGAGCAGCTGTTCCAGGTCAATAGAGACAACCTGGATCAAGGAGAGAAAACCACATCTGGGCAGGACAATTCCACCGAAGTGCCTCTGGATTTATCGGATTACGGAAGGGGAAGAGAAAGCGGCACCAACTGGCATCAGTCCTCAGTGAAACGTGAAAGGCGAAGTCCAGGCAGAGATGAGAACGAAGAGTCTGTTGTTCAGAAAACCACTTTATCCAGCTGGCCTGGTATAATCCAGAAACAGCATTACGGGAGCCAACAACTGGGACAGTTCACGGCCGGAGCCAAGGAAATTATAGCAGTTTCTCCGGTAAGAAATATATTTTCCATTTCTATCTCTTTTCTTCAGCTATTTCTGCCCCAACCATTTCCTCTGTGTATTCAGCTACTGTGTTTCCCCCAAAATAAGACCGGGTCTTATGTTAATTTTTGCTCCAAAAGACACATTAGGGCTTATTTTTCGGATAGGTCTTAATTTTGGGGAAAATTTGGAACTAAATGCATCCATCTGGCTGACAATTTTAACTGGAGCTTATTTTTGGGATGGGACTTATATTACAAACATCCTGAAAAATCATGCTAGGGCTTATTTTCGGGGAAACACAGAATTTACACATACTGCTAGTCCTTGACTTATAACAATTCGTTTAGTGACCGTTCGAAGTTACAACGGCACTGAAAAAAGGACTTATGACCGGTTTTCACACAAATGACCATTGCACTAACTCAGTGATGGTGAACCTTTTAGAGACTGAGTGCCCAAAAACTGCCTCGCCCCTGTCCTGCCCTCCCCTTTCCTGCCCGCAGGGCCACCCACCACCTCCACGGTCCATCACAGCAAATCACGCAGGCGTCCCAGCAGCGTCATGGCGGCCAAGCCCTCTGTCTGTGCCCTGCAGCAGCATCTGTACACGATGGGGCACGAGGACGGAGTCTTGTCCCCGCTGCCCGGCTGCCATGTCCTTGGCTGTGCTGCTCTGCGCAGGCTGCGCCCGGGGCGAGTCTCCTCCAGGGGGGGCCTGCTGGTGAGGAGGGGGCTACGGGAGTGGGACGATAGCGTGCGTGCCCACAGAGAGGGCACCCAAGCCATAGATTCGCCACCACTGCACTAACTCATTGGTCACGTGATCAAAGTTCGGGTGCTTGGCAACTGACTCATATTTATGACCGTTGCACTGTATTGGGGTCATGTGATCACCATTTGTAACCTTCCCAGTTGGCTTCCAACAAACAAAGTCAATGGGAAGAGACAGATTCACTTAAGAATTACACAATTTGCTTAACAACTGTGGCAAAAGCTCATAAAATGGGACACAACTCACTTAGCGACATCAATTTTGGCCTTAAATGTGGTCACAAGTTGAGGACTACCTGTACTTTGAGGCCACTCGTAATTGCTTACAATTACACTTGCCTGTTAATAGCATTGGCCTAACTAAGGTTTGATTAGGCCATTATGCTACACTAAAGTCTTGATGGTCCCTGAGAATCGACTTCAATTAATGCTGAATTAACTGAATTTTGAGTTTCATTCAATATGTTGAAAAATAGACTAAGATCTGAGTTTACCTTGTGAATGAAGTCACGACAAAGGAAATAAGGTAGAATGACGCCTCAGTTTAATAAAGCATTCTGGGGAAGGGTTCTCCATTATTTTTATTCGTTATTTTTATTTGTTCAATTTATTTGCCGCCTATCTCGCAGGGGGCTACTCTAGGAAGCTTACAATAATAAAAAAAGAAGAAAAATCAAAAGAGTGTAAAGAGAACGGAAGTAAAATAATAGAACAATGAAATAAACAATGACAAAGTGTTTCCATTAAAATACCCAAGAAAACTAAATGTTGCGTAAAGGTTTTCCCCTTTATTTTTTTCTTTCTTTCCCTGGATGCTGATCGTCCTTCATTCTTCACAAACCTTCTCCAAGGCCTAGATACTCTACACCACGGGTCTTCAAACTTGGCCCTTTTATGACTTGTGGACTTCAACTCCCAGAATTCCTCAGCCAGCGTGCCTGGCTGAGGAATTCTGGGAATTGTCGTCCACAAGTCATAAAAGGGCCAAGTTTGAAGACCCCTGTTCTATACATTCCCCAAGTAGGAGAGAAGTCTAAACTTTGGGGATGCAACCCAGATGTACATTTTGTCCATTGTATTTGAAGTCTGCTAAGCCAAGGTCTGTTAAATTGAGGGCTCACTGTACCAACCAGCCAAAGTTGGCCTGTGATACAAATGCAGATGGTAAATCTTTCACTCACCTGAATACAATAATTAAAGAGAGAAGCAACCTAGAATTAAGGAAAAAAATTCCTGTCAATGAGAACGATTAATCATTGGAACGACTTACCTCCAGAAGTTGTGGGTGCTCCATCACTGCAGGTTTTCAAGAAGGGACTGGCCAGCCATTTGTCCGGCATGGAACAGGGTCTCCTGCTTAAGCAGGGGGTTGGACTAGAAGACCTCCAAGATCCCTTCCAGTCCTATTATTCCATGTTCTGTCCACTAGCATAGTCACTGTGAATGTTACAAGACTTTGTAAGGCTGTAACTTTTCTCTCTCTTAAACTCTGTGGCCTCTGCAGATATCTTTGCCACAAGAACCTGCCATGTCCAAGACAACTTCACATGATTCCACTGCTGTCCAAGAAGTCAAGATGCCTTTTCGAGGGGAGAATCAAGACCCTGAGCAGCCAGGTAAAACAGAACCATATTTTGCACTTTCTGGGAGATTGGAACATACTGTATATAAGAGACTGGACAGCCATTCATCTGAAATGGCATAGGGCAGAGGTACCAACCTTTTGAGAAGTTCAAACAGGAACAAGCTTTGAGAACAAACAGGAACAAGCGATCACAATTTATAACCATTCATTTAGTAACTGTTCAAAGTTACAAGGGCACTGAAAAAGTGAGTTAGGACTGATCCTCATACTTACGACTGTTGGAGCATCCCATGGACCCATGATCAGAATTTGGGCACTTGGCAACCAGCATGTATTTATGATACTTGCAGTGTACCAAGGTCATGTAATCACCATTTATAGGATAGGATAGGATAGGATAGGATAGGATAGGATAGGATAGGATAGGATAGGATACGGTAGGGTAGGGTAGAGTAGGGCAGGGTAGGGTAGGGTAGGGTAGGGTAGTGTAGGGTAGAATAGAATATAATAGAATGGAATGGAATAGAAATGATAGGATAGGACAGGACAGGACATAATAGAATAATGATAGGATAGGTTAGGATAGGATAGAATGGAATGGAATGGAATAGAAATGATAGGATAGGATAGGATAGGATAGGATAGGATAGGATAGGATAGGATAGGATAGGATAGGATAGGACAGGACAGGACAGGACATAATAGAATAATGATAGGATAGGTTAGGATAGAATGGAATGGAATGGAATAGAAATGATAGGATAGGATAGGACAGGACAGGACAGGACAGGACAGGACATAATAGAATAATTATAGGTTAGAATAGAATAGAATAGAATAGAATAGAATAGAATAGAATAGAATAGAATAGAATAGAATAGAATAATAACTCTATTGTTACTTTAAATGTACACTAGTCAGCTTGCATTAAAATGAAATTTTGTTGCATTCAGCTCTCAAAGGGTAACCACCTCCAATATACACTACATAAACATGACCTCCCTAGATGGCTTCTAACAAGCAAACACAATTGGGATATGTTTAATGACCACATGATTCATTTAAGAACAGCAGTGATTTGCTTAACAACCATGTTAAAAACCGGGTGCAAGTCATTTAACAGCTTCCTTGCTTAGCCACGGAAATGCTGGTCTCAAATGTGGTCCTAAGTCAAGGATCACTGTACTCTTCAGATACATCAGATATCAATTAATCCAATCTTGAAAACGGTTTGATCAACCACTGGTTCTAGAGCAGTAATCTCAATGCATGTTGGGGTTCTAGAAGGGTAGGATCTGTTACCCATTCTTGAGCCAGGGACATTTCTCAGGATGGACAAATCGCTAGAATGTGAAACTTGAGATCCTTCATTTTCTCACCCGCTGTCATATGTAGCTTCCAAAGAGCCCTTGTCATTGTCCCAGGAAATGTTTAAAGTTGCTCAACCGGTAATTTCATTTCTCTTACAAGGGAAGGCTTACATCCAGGATTACGTGTAGCACAAATCTTGTTAAACAAACACCTCGGAGTTTAAGTAAACGTGGAGTCTATTAGACAGTTGGCCTTTTGTGCTCAACTGTGGAACTTTGAGCCTTTCATCAAGAACGACTAGAATTTTTTGGCGCTCATCCAGCTTTATACAGTCCTGAATGAGCCCCACCTTATCAAATCCTGTGTCCAGGTCAACATTTTGATTTGGAACAGCTCCCCAGAGTCTATAGAGCTCAAGCATTGCCTCCCTCAGTACCAAAATCAATCAAGGGAATAGCTTGCCTTCAGAAGTTGGGGTGCCCCATCATGGAAGCTTTCAAAAAGAGAGTGGACAACCAAAGAAGAAATAGGGGAGACATGATAGCAGTGTTCCAGTATCTGAGGGGCTGCCACAAGGCAGAGGGGGCCAGGTTGTTCACCAAAGCACCAGAGGGAAGGACGAGAAACAATGGTTGGAAACTGATCAAAGAGAGAAGCAACCTGGAATTAAGGAGAAACTTCCTGACAGTGAGGACAATCAACCAGTGGAACAGCTTGCCTCCAGAAATCATGGGCACTCCATCATTGGAGATTTCTAAGAAGAGGCTAGACAGTCACTTGTCTGAGATGGTATAGCTTCTCCTGCTTGAGCAGGGGGCTGGACTAGAAGACCTCCAAGATTCCTTTCTATTCTATTCTATTCTATTCTATTCTATTCTATTCTATTCTATTCTATTCTACTCTATTCTACTCTATTCTATTCTATTCTATTCTATTCTATTCTAGCAGGGGGTTAGACTAGAAGACCTCTGAGGTTCCTTCCAACTCTATTATTCTATGTTCTAAAACTGGAACACGGCACCTTCTACAAATAAAGCAGAAGTCAAACACACAACTGAGCAATGGACTCACAAATACTTATGCAATACTGTATGAATTATCCCTGATCCTGGTGATTAGAAAACCACGTGCTTCTCTGTTTTCTGAGCCCTTAAAGGGGGAAAACCCTTTTCTGCCCTATATACTTTTCTCTGCTCACAAAAAGAGAGGGAAAAAATGGCGTTTCTAGACCTTGTGACAGACGTTGATCTCCTTACATGCCTTTGTCTCTTTCAGATAATGGCGATTCTGACTCACTGCAGGATGATTCTGATGGGACCGTCGTATCTGAGAGTGAGGTCCGTTCCCATGTTTTGAAGCGGTCGAAGTCATCCTGTCTTTCAAAGATGGGATATGACATCATCAAACAAGTTTGGGAAATTGGGTCTTCTGGATTTTGCTGAACTACAATTCCAAACAACCTTTCCTATTGGCACTGTTGATATGGGTGGCTGAGAAGAATATGGGTAGTCTTCAACTTTACAACCATTCATTTAGTAGCCACTTGGAGTCTTAGGTCAAGGACTACCTGTGCTGTAGTTCAGGAACTTCTGGAGATCTTCAGCTTCCTCACTACGGGTCTGAGAATTTTGTAATTGCTTCCTGTCTCATTAGGCTTATTATTTAAGCCAGGGGCCTCCAAACTTGGCAACCTTAAAACTTGTGGGCTTCAACTCAAGGTGGCTGTGGATTTCTGGGAATTGAAGTCCACAAGTCTTCACTAAGTGATTTAAACCACAATAAGAACCGCTTGTCTTATGGCTGTAGCTAAAAGCACATGTCCTTGTCGTCATGGGAATATAACCAGACCTGATTTGACCATTTGAGAGTGTGAAAAACCGAACAGTATTTTCAATGTAAGTGGAAAAGAGGACAGATTTCCTAAATCAGAGGTCCCCAACCTTGGCAACTTTAAGACTTGTGGACTTCAACTCCCAGAATTCCTCAGCCAGCTTGGCTGGCTGAGGAATTCTGGGAGTTGAAGTCCACAAGTCTTAAAGTTGCCAAGGTTGGAGACCCCGGCCCTAAATTACCTGACATTTTTCTTCATGCATCTTAAACCTGTCTTTATCCATTTCTCTGATTTATATAGATGGTTGGTAGTCGTGAAGAAAAAGCTCTCTCAAGAACTTTGGTAAAAGAAGAATACTGCTATGTTACTGAGAACATTCAGAATTTGCAGAAGAAACGGAAAAGGGGCCACGATTCGTCAACGAAAGGTAGAAAATTCTTCCTTTCCAACTATTTCAGATTTTGCATCCCAAAGTGTCATACATTGCCCTGATTTGCGCATAAAATAATCCATAAATATAAGCAAGGATTAAAGTGCTGTTTTAAAAACTAGACCATGAGTTCTAATCCTACCATAGGCATGAAAGCCAGCTGGGCGACTTTGGGCCAATCACAGGAGACTGGAAAATCTAATCCCGCCTTAGGCGTGAAAGCTGGCTGGGTGACTTTAGGCCAATCACAGAAGACTGGGAATTCTAGTCCCGCCTTGCATAAAAGCTGGCTGGGTGACTTTAGGCCAATCACAAAAGACTGGAAAGTCTAATCCCGCCTTAGGCATGAAAGCTGGCTGGGTGACTTTAGGCCAATCACAGGAGACTGGGAAGTCTAATCCCGCCTTAGGCATGAAAGCTGGCTGGGTGACTTTAGGCCAATCACAGGAGACTGGGAAGTCTAATCCCGCCTTAGGCATGAAAGCTGGCTGGGTGACTTTAGGCCAATCACAGGAGACTGGGAAGTCTAATCCCGCCTTAGGCATGAAAGCTGGCTGGGTGACTTTAGGCCAGGGGTAGGCAACCTTGGCTCTTTTATGACTCGTGGACTTCAACTCCCAGAATTCCTGAGCCAGCATGGCTCAGCATGGAAACCTCTCCCTTTCCCCTCAGCATGGCTGGCTCAGGAATTCTGGGAGTTGAAGTCCACAAGTCATAAAAGAGCCAAGGTTGCCTACCTCTGCTTTAGGCCAATCACAGGAGACTGGGAAGTCTAATCCCGCCTTACTCATGAAAGCCGGCTGGGTGACTTTGGCCAATTATCAGGAGATCATGAGTTCTACTCCTTAGGCATGAAAGCCAGCCCAGTCCACCTCACAAGGTTGTTGTGGAGAAAACAGGAGGAGGAAAGAATATTAAGTGTGTTTGCAACTTCCCTGCAAAAGGGCAATATTTTCATCCTGCTCATTCCAGTAAAATTATGATAGCAATATCCATTCTTCTCCTCCTCCCATAACCTGGAAGCTTTCAAGAGCCCTGGAAACCCTGATCTTACCCAGCCACAATCAGTTTCCCACTTCTGTTTTTAGATCTTCACGTTTTTAGACTTAGTGTATTTCCCTCTGACTTCTACTACGTGGAATCAGATCTCTGTCAATGCGCTTCCTCCCATTTTCAAACTCCATCCTTATTGTCCACTACAGGAGGCAGTCCTCAACGTACGACCACAATTGAGCCCAAAATTTATGTCGCTAAGTGAGAAATTGGTTAACTGAGTTTTGCCCCCTTTCTCACCACGTTTGTTAAGTGAAACATTGCAGTTCTTAAATGAGTAACCCGGCTGTTAAGTGAATCTGGCTTCCCCATTGACTTTGCTTGTCAGAAGGTCGCAAAAGGGGATTACGTGACTGCGGGACACTGCAACCGTCATAAATGGGAGTCAGTTGTCAAGCATCTGAATGTAAATCCCCTGATCCTGGGGATGCTGCAATGGTCAAAAGGGTGAAAAGTGGTCATAAGTCACTTTTTTTCCAATGCTGTTGTAACTTCCAACAGTCACTAAATGAAGTGTTGTAAATGGAGGACTATATAGACAGGTTTCCATGCCTTTGTGTTTACTTCCTGTGGGGCTCTTTTCTAACCGTGTCCTCTGGGCTCTGACAAATTACTGATGGGATTGATTCAAGAAGAAAACCGTCAAAGGAATTATGGTCTGTTGTTCCCTCCATCCTGGATTCCATGCTGTGTAAATATTTAACCCAAGTTATACAATTGTGCTGCGATAAGACGCGGAGCAGAGACTCCAGTGTTTTAGCACAGGGTGGCTTTTCTCTAAAGGGTGATCCAGCTTCCAGCTCGGAGAGGGAAAGGGGAAAAACTTCAGCTTGAGTAAGTGTGGTACATACACAGTCCTGCTTGTTTACTTGGCCTTTTCTAAGGAGCCTTGATTGACAAAGCACGCCCAAAGAACTATTGACTTTGCCCAAAAGCGTTTTCACACAAACAGTGTTTATTCTACAAACGAGGATCTACAAAAGGGGTAAGCTGCTAACAATGGACGATGTTGTACAGGTATTTCCTACAGGTGTGACTGAGCAGGACATTGATAAGGTTGGGCACAAAAACCCTCTGGCCTGATAACCATTTAAACACTTCGCGTCCCAAACTCCTCCCTTCGTTCTGTTTGCCCAGTCAAAAGTTAGGAGAGAACCGAGTTGACCAACTAACAGAGAGATATGGTGGTCACAGGGTTTAAAAATGGGGCATGTTTGACAAGTGCCACCGTGCCTTTCCGACAGGCTCTGATTAATCTGGACGGAAAATATTAATAGCGCTTTTTTTCTTAATAATAATAATAATAATAATGATAAAGTTGGAAGGGACCTTGGAGGTCACCTAGTCCAACCCCCTGCTCAGGCAGGAAACCCTATACCATTTCGGACAAATGGCTGTCCAGTCTCTTCTTAAAAACTTCCAGTGTTGGAGCATTCACCGCTTCTGGAGGCAGGTTGTTCCACTGGTTAATTGTTCTAACTGTCAGGAAGTTTCTCCTTAGTTCTAGGTTGCTTCTCTCCTTGCTTAGTTTCCACCCGTTGCTTCTTGTCCTGCCTTCAGGCGTCTTGGAGAATAGCTTGACTCCCTCTTCTTTGTGGCAGCCTCTGAGATATTGGAACACTGCTATCATATCCCCCCTCGTCCTTCTCTTCGTTAAACTAGACATACCCAATCCCAGCAGCCATTCCTTATATGTTTTAGCCTCCAGTCCCCTAATTATCTGTGTTGCTCTTCTCTGTACTCTTTCTAGAGTCTCAACATCTTTGTTACATCGTGGTGACCAAAACTGGATGCAGTATTCCAAGTGTGGCCTTACCAAGGCATTGTAAAGTGGTATTAATACTTCACGTGATCTTGTTTAGCCCTCACAAAGCTTGGGCTGGGAAGATGTTAGACAGGCAGCAGAGAAGAAGAGACTGGAGCAAGCCTGGATCTGAGCTGGATCACACTGCTGAACTTATAAGAGAGGATATTTACAGCTCAGGGTTGAACTGTGGGGTCACTGGTGTTCTCTGAGCTTGCATTTTTTTTTGTAGACATTTCATTACCCAACTAGGTAACTTCATCAGTAATAGAAGGGAGTGGGGTTTGCTCAAGGAACTTGGTAGGCAAGCAAGCTATCAGTAAATAACAGCCTAATCAAGGAAGTTCAATAACACTGATACTGCAAACTACTGTATATAAACAGAACAAACCCAATCCCCTTCTAACTCTGATGAGATTACCTACCGTAGTTGGGTAATGAAATGTCTGCAAGAAAACCACCAAGTTCAGAATGCACCAAGAGCCCCACTGCTGAACATTGTCAGCAGGCTATTATTTGTAGCTCTGTCTCTCTTTAAAAAAAAAATGATTCTAAAAAGACAAAGGCTCCCAATCGGCTTATTTTGCTTATTGGGTGAAGTAGAGTTTAGGGTTTCCTCTAATCTTGATCACTCCTTTAAAAAAGATGGTCAGTTTTGGCCCAAGCCCTCTAGTGATGTCCTCCATATCAGCATCCTGCTTCATTCAGCAATAGCGATAGCACTTAGACTTATATACCGCTTCACAGTGCTTTATAGCCCTCTCTAAGCGGTTTACAGAGTCAGCCTATTGCCCCCAACTATCTGGGTCCTCATTTTCTCGATCTCGGAAGGATGGAAGGCTGAGTCAACCTTGAGCCGGTCAGGATCGAACTGCTGAACTGCTGACAGCCGGCAGTCAGCAGAAATAGCCTGTAGTACTGCATTCTAACCACTGCGCCACCACAGCTCTTCAGCACTTGAAGGACTTCTTTTTAAGTGGAATAGAGAGAGAAATTAAGTGCCAGAGAAAAAGAGAGAAAAAGGAAAGTGATAGAAATTGGGGAAAGGGATCTGCAGGAAGATGGGTAGCCCTGCCCACTTTTATCCTGGCCACACCCACTGCTTGCTCAAGCCGACCCACTCTGCAGTCCCGCCAGATCAACCTAGAGACCCCATGGTTGGCAACTCCAAAAGGGTTTTTTATTCTTTTTCAAGGTTCAGATAGTAAAGCACACTACATTTGACTGTGTTTTATCCATTACAAGTAGTCCTCAATATACGACTGGTCATTTTACAATCGTTTGGAGTGACAACGACCTTGGAACTGGTGTTTTGCAGCTTGTAAAATACTACCGGCCTTCATGAAATGTCACCCTACCCCTGCCCTACCCCATCTTCCACAGTTACATGACTGCATTTCGAGTACTTGGTTACCAGCTCTTCTTTATGACCAGTTGTGGTGTCGCGCAGTCACACAACCACAATTTGTAACATTTCTTTTTTGCTGGTTTCCAGGGTTATTGGGGGATTTTGGGGGGGCAATTTCCAGCAAAAGAGCACCCATTTGAAAGAATGGGTTTGCTTAACAACTGCACTGTTCACTTATAACCCCATGATTCGCTTAACGACCAATGCAACAAATATTAAAAAAAAGAGGTCCGGTCATATGGGTGCCTTGATTTATGACTGTAACAACTTATGACTGGCTTTCTGGTCCCAACTATGGTGGTAAATAGAGGACTATTTGTATTAGTAATTTTCAGAGAGAAGATTAATATCCCAGAATGCACTCTGTTCTAATGCTCCATTCATTCCATTTCTTCTCCACAGCCTGCAAGAAGTCAGTACGAGGACGGGAAAGTGAGGCAGCCACCCACATCCTGCCTGGCCCACAAGATACGAAGGAAACGGCAAACCACAGTCCTGCTTTCCGACAGGAGGAGCACGAGGAGACATAGCTTAAAAACCTTCTCCCTTGGACCTGCTTTGTAGACTAAGCTGCAGTCAAACTTTTCTGGTTTCTATCAAGAATCCTACAACGGCTCGGGACTGCCGAGCATCTCCGAAAACGTATTGAGTAGGATTATCTTTTTTGCTTGTGTCAGTAAATGCATCATATTTGTATTATTTGTTGTTTAATTTCAAAAATTAATAAAAATTTTATTAAAAAAAAAAAGAATCCTACAACGGCCACCAAAGAATTTTAGGTATTCTAGCCACTCAGGTTAAACAGCCCTCCACGTTGCACAAACCTACACGTGCAGTTATTCTGGTATTACAACTGAGATCGTGAGAAGTAGGACATCTCAAGCCAGGCGTTGTAGGATAATTTTAAGAATCGCTTCTCTGATCATACTGGTAGTAAGAGTACAGGCAGTCCTCGACCACAATGGAGCCCCAGATTTCTGCTGCTAAGCAAGGCATTCGTTAAGTGAATTTTGCCCCCTTTTACAACCTTGCTTGCCATGGCTGGTAAGTGAATCGCTGCAGTTGTGAAGTTAGTGACATGGTTGTTAAGTGAATCTGGCTTCCCCACTGACTTTGCTTGCCAGGAGGTCGCAAAAGGGGATCATCAGATGACCAGCAGACCCTGCACCCGTCATAAATATGAACTAGTTGCCAAATGTCTGAATTTTAATCACGTGACCACGGGGATGCTGCAATGGTCATAAGTGGGAAAAACAGTCCTAGGTCACTTTTTCCAGTGCCGTTGTAACTTCAAATGGTCACTAAACGAATGGTTATAAATTGGGGACTACCTGTATAATCCTGGCAATCTAGTGCTTTCTTCACAGGGTGCACGGCAATAATAAAGACATTGTACGTGAATAAAAAAAGAAATGAATTTGATATGCTGAGCACCCCGGTGCCAAAACCACCTAAAACATTGCCAAGTATTTGTTCATCAATGCTGCGTTGATTAAATTTCTGCACAATCTGAAGTGTTACGTCGTTATTGTTTGGCCAAATAATTTGCTAGAATTCTACATTCAAGAAGATAAGATAAGCAGACTCGTAATAGGCATTTCCTGTAGGAATTAACAGAGCTCCAGGGTTAATTTTGATAGGCAATGAAAGCATTTCATCAGGAATCTCCATCTGAATAATACGGTCTTCAGCCGTGATGGCTCAGGAATTCTGGGAGTTGAAGTCCACAGGACATAAAGGGGCCATTGTTACCCATCTTTGGGCTAAAGCAGGGGTCTTCAAACTTGGCAACTTTAAGACTTGTGGACTTCAACTCCCAAAATTCCTCAGCCAGACAGCCAGGCATGCTGGCTGAGGAATTCTGGGAGTTGAAGTCCACAAGTCTTAAAAGTTGCCAAGTTTGAAGAGCCCTGGGCTAAAAGAACATTTAGGCTCACATTAGGTAAATACTAGCCAACTTTCCCACAGCAGCTTACAAGACTTTAGAAGATTATGTCATTTTTGTCCTCCGGCATAATTGATACTATCATATTCTCATGCAAGTTCCAAAGAGCTAGATGTCCTTCTCAATCTACACTAAATTTCCAGAGAAGATCAACAAGGCACCTGAATCAGCCAGGGATAGGAAAATAGGCTAATCACAGTGCTTGCAAATAGGCAAATGTAGACATGATGTAGCCTCTTTGATATTTTTTTAAAAAAATTATATTTAGGGGGTAAATATTCAGGCATGCAAATGGTTGCAGATGCTTTTATTATTTTATTTCAATAATTTAATTATTCCCAAGAGAACGGTTGGCAGCTGAGCATCGGAAGCAAATTCCCCCTTATGCCAGTTACTTTGACATGTGTTTGTGTGTGAGAGAGAGAGAGGGGGGAGGGAGGGGATATGTGTGCAGGCTCTAGAAGTAAATTTAAAGTATAAATCCTCCCCCCTCAGATTTCCCTCTCCCTCCCCAATGAGCACATGGTTTTGAATTATATATGGGTATTAGAATATTGTCAAATAGTAGCTGTATTTCTGCCCAGAGTAATGCCATAGCTGTGCCATAGGACCATTAAATAGGAACTCTATAAGCCATTTGCTGCACTTTAGAAGATTTTTATTTTCGTGATTCTCCTTCTTCTAGCACAGGCAGTTGGGGGTCCTATTTGCCCGCATTCTGCAAACTGGTCTCTGGAAGAACTCAGAGCCCATGTTGCACCGATGCTGAAAATATATGCCCGTTGGCAATTTGCTTCTGGCATAATTCAGAAAGCTGGCGGTGAGCTTTAAAACCGCTTCTAGTTCAGCCCAAGAGACAGTTTGGTGTAGTGATGAAGGCACCAGGCTAAAAACTGGGAGCTTGTGAGTTCTAGTCCTCCTTGGAGGCGAAGCCAGGTCGGTGCCCTTGGGCCAATTGCTCTCTTACAGCCCAGAGAAGGAACTGGTTCTACATTTACAATGTAAGGTTCTACATTTAGGCAAGAAAAACCAAATGTACAGGTATAGTATTGGGGGTACCTTGCTCAACAGTAGTAACTGTGAGAGGGATCTCGGAGTCCTAGTGGACAATCATTTACGGTAAATATGAGCCAGCAGTGTGCTGCAGCTGCCAAAAAAGCCAACACAGTGCTAGGCTGCATTAACAGAGGGATAGAATCAAGATCACGTGAAGTATTAATACCACTTTACAATGCCTTGGTAAGGCCACACTTGGAATACTGCATCCAGTTTTGGTCACCAGGATGTAAAAAAGATGTTGAGACTCTAGAAAGAGTACA